ATTCTCTTCAACCCCCTGCTGTGCAGCTGACTTCCCCCTAGGGTTGCCAATCTCCAGGTGGGACCTGGAGATCTCACGCTGTTACAATTGATCTCCAGATGACAGAGATCAGTTCCCCTGGAGAAAATGGCTGCTTTGGAGGGTAGACCCTATGACATTATACCTGCTGAGTCCTTCCGCCCACGCTGGCGGGAGCCGCGGTCGCCCGGGCCGAGATTGGGGGGGCAAGGCGGGCGACAGAAGGCCGATGCCTCCGTCGCCCGGCCCTCTACAGAATCCACCCCCCAAACCTCCAGGTATTTCCCTCCTTAGAGCTGGCAACCCTACATTCCCCTCAGTGCCTGTTGGTAGGCAACTAAGCTTGGTCCTGTCACCTACTTTGGCCTTTGGGAGAAAACACATTGGGGCCAATCCTGATAGGGTTGCCAACTCCAGATGGGAAATTCCTGGAGACTTGAGGGATGGAGCCTGAAGAGGGTGAGGTTTGAGGAGGGGTGGGACCTCAGACAGGTACACTGCCATAGACTCCACCCTCCAAACCAGTCAGTCCCACATAGGGAACCATTGTTGCCAATCTCCAGGTGAGGGCTGGAGAGCACTCAGTATTACAACTGTTCTGCAGAAGGGAGGGCAGAAGTCAGCTGAAGTCAAAGGGGCAGATAATGGTAGGTTGGTGGCTAGCTGGGAAGGAGATGGGGTTGCCAACTACATGCTGACAAATTCCTGGGGATTTGAGGGGTGGAGCCTGGAGAGGGTGGGGTTTGCAGAGGGGTGGGACCTCAGACAGGTAGACTGCCATAGACTCCACCCTCCAAACCAGCCATTTTGTCCTGGGTAACAATTGTTGCCAATCTCCAGGTGGGGGCTACAGATTACTCACAATTACAACTGCTCTTCAGGTAGCAGAGATCAGTTCCTCTGGAGAAAACAGTGGACTCTGTCATTATACCCTGCTGAGGACACCACAGCAAATTGACACTGTTTGCCCAAAGCCAGAGCACTCCCCCAGAGCCTCTTTCTAGATCTCGTTGTATTTATTTCCACAACGGGCTTTACTGCTAGTATTATATACTAGCCTAATTCCCATGCTTTACTTCATTTAAGTTCCCTCTCACGACTGTTGTCTTTATACTTGTTTACTGATTGGGTCGTGTTTGTCCAGATCTCTTCACAGTCAGCCTTGGTTTCCACCATCGTGGCTAATTTGTGTCATCGACCCTGATTTCCCACAAGCTGTTGCTCTGCACTCGCTCTTCCCTTTGCCCCGATCGTACATGTCAATTTCACACCATGTGCTGCACGGCCACATGTTGCCCCACAGCTTCACCCGATTCCCCCACGTCTATTCAATCCTGTTTTTTGAGGATTGAGTAGACACGGGAGGAATCAGGCGAAGCTGCGGGGCAAAATGCGGCCATGCAACACATGGTGTGAAATTGACACGTATGATCGGGGAAGAGCGAGCGTGGAGCAGCAGCTTGCGTGAAATCAGTCCAGGTGACTTGGTCAGTACACGGTTCACGCCTAGTTCCAGAAGATTCACGAGGCCCATATTACATTGAACTAGGGGCGCCAACCAAACACTGGCAACCATCAAAACGGAGATGACTCTGACACTACGTCACTTCTACTGAGCTCCTGCAGATGATATCAGTATTTCAGCACAGCACTCTAAGAACCTCTCCCCAGCTGTATGGTCTCTTCCTATTTTTCTAGGAAGAAGAAGAAGAAGAAGACAACATTGGATTTATACCCCGCCCTTCACTCAGAGCCTCAGAGCAGCTTACATACTCCTTTCCTTCCCCCTCCTCTCCCCAAAACAGACACCCTGTGAAGTAGCTGCCCTGAGCCTGCCTTGGTAGGGAGGGTGGCGTATAAATCGAATAAAATAAATAAATAAATAGGTGGGGCTGAGAGAGCTCTCCCAAGAACTGCCCTTTCAAGGACAACTCTGAGAGAACTGTGACTGACCCAAGGTCAGATCAGCAGCTGCATGTGGAGGAGTGAGGAATCAAACCCGGTTCTCCCAGATTAGAGTCCACACTCCTAAGCACTACAGCAAACTGTCTGTCTTTACTGAGCAGCAGCATACGACCTGGGCTGCCAGGGAAAGGTCTCCTGCTGTCATGGGAATTTGTTGCAAGCTCTTCATAGCACAGCATTCGTTGAAAAGAGTCAACACTGAAATGCCAACATGGACTGCTATTATTCCTCACGTTGGCTGAATCATTCAGTGGGTCCCAGTTGGATGGAGGCTTATATTTTTAGTGACGCACCCTTGGTATACAATAACCATGGCTATACATTGACCGACCTACTGCATCTCCTGCTGGCATCATAAGAATCTGGTGTTGTGGAAGGATTGCAGAATGAGGACAGATTTCCCATGTGAAGGGAACTCTGCAGTCAGGCTGGACTTCCATTACTGTGGAGGCACTACTTACTGGGAACCACCTCAGCAGGCAGGCCAGCTGCAGAGGACAGCACAGTGGGGCAGAGCTGGGGGCTCAGAAGCAGGCAGGGGTTCTAGAGGGGAGGTTAGAGGAAGCTGGACTAAGCCCCATGGTATCTGCTCTCTTTCCCCTCTTTCGACTTGAAGAAGATAAGAGATTGGATTTATACCCTGTCCTTCACTCAGAGTCTCAGAGTGGCTTACAAACTCCTTTTCCTTCCCCTCCCCACAACAGACACCCTGTGAGGTGGGTGGGGCAGAGAGAGCTCTTTGGAGAACTGCTCAGGAGAGAACAGCTCTGATAGAACTATGGCTTGTCCAAGGTCATCCAGCAGCTGCGAGTGGAGGTTCTCCCAGATTAGAGTCCATGCACTTAACCACTACACCAAACTGGCTTTACTGCTCACTTTACTTTACTGCTTTGCTTTAATTTACTTTACTGCTCATCGCTGGGATGACAACAAGTGCTTTTATACAGTTTCAGTTCATTCCTACCATTGGGCGAATACCCTTCTCACCTCGTTTTATAATTGGTGTCAGCCTGGATCCTTTATTGTCTGAATGGTGAATCATTAAGAAGACAGACTCAAGAGTTTAACTCAGACCAACTATAGCAGTTTATTTAAGCACAAAAGAGATAAAAGACAGACAAAATATCTGCTCATGCCAGCCATACAAAGCAAACAGAATTGATGACTGAAATGGCTAAGCTGATGAATGAAAATAAAGACAAAATGCCAAATACTTGTCATGAACGAAATGACTAGCTCACACAACGTATGATACATCAGATATGTAGAGGCACTGAAAATAGAGGATTAACTAATTTTAAAGCAGCTGATAATTACTGCAAGCAAGTTGCAAAGACATTTCAAAACTTGGTGGAAAGAGGAACCTTTTAAATGCACTTCAGGTACACCAGCATTGCCAGGCTCCAGGTGGGCCCGAAGATCTCCCGGAATTACAATTGACCTCTTGACTACAGAGATCAGTTCCCCTGTAGAAAAGGGCTGCTTTGGAGGGCAGGCACTATGGATTATATCCTGCTGAGGTCACTCCCCTCCCTAAATCCTCTGGCTCCAGCCCCAAATCTCCTGGAATTTTCCAACATGGAGCTGGCAACCCTAAACAAAACAGCCAAACTAAGCAAAAACTAATAAAATAAGACCAAATAAGACCAGATTGTCTTAGAATTTAACCTCTGCCCCCCCCAATCCCCTCCAGCCTACTTAGTTAAATGGTAAGTAAGGTCCTAAGGGCATTTGTATCTACCTATTATGGATTTGGTGGTCTGGGTTGTTAATCCAGTAGTTAGGACTACTCCGCTTTTTGGAACACAGGAGTGAATAACGCTTTAATCCCTCCTGGGGGGGGGGAACCCCAGACCGAGAAGAAATGAGGGTGAGTATGAAATAAAAAATGAAAACAGAAGGAATTAGAAAAGAGAAAGGGAGGGAGAGGGAGACGATTAAGGCCTCCAATATGGGGAACTGGTACAGTGGTGCTCAACAGGGGATGTTCTCTGTCTGCCACCGAGCAGACTAGCACAGCCAAACTTCCCCTCAGGCTATGCATTGCCAGGGAAGATGAAGACTGGTAGGCAACCTGTCTTTGAGAGAAGGTTTGAGAAAGCTCTTAACATTTTCTGAAGGCTCTGTGAAACACACTTTGAAAAGTCCAACACCCACCCAGATTTTTAGGCACATTTAGTCCTGCAGTTCTCAGCCAGGAAAAAGTTGCCACAAGAAATAGCGTAGAATTTTTCAGCTACCTCAATGTTTTGATCTTTGTCATTATAATGTCTTTGATTTGCAGTATGAAATAGGAAAAATCAGCAAGTGTGTTCACAATTCCCTCGGGGCTTCTGGGCATTGGGTGCATTAAATCAGCACAACTGAAAAAGCTTCCATAAAGAAAATTAAAAATTGTCTTTATTGGCCACGGTGGTATTTGATCATATTCACACTCTGGTATTCAAACATATTCAATCCACTCCAAATTCTAGGTGCAAGTGAGTAGGTGAGGGGCTTCTGATCAGAATTATTTCTCGGCATTTAGGCCTCTTGCATCGTTTGTAGATTGATGCTTTGGTTTCTCTGTTTGGATGGGTGTTTTGGATCTTTAGTTGGAACTCTTCCTTAATGTTTGTCAGAACTTTTTTTTCAACTTGCCGAATATGGTTCTGAAAGAACCAACAAGAAAGTCCAACTGGAATATGAACTCTTGTCCCTATTCTTCTGGTTCCTAGCGTTCTCCATACAATTCATAGGCTTTATTCATATGTTCTCCAGAGGAGATGTTTACTAGGGTTAGGACTCTTAAATCTCAAAAGCTGTTGCCCAAACCCTCTCAGCATCTTCCTGAGCATCATCCAGAAAGCACTGCAGCATGTGGGACAGACATGAAAAAGAATTAAGTCCACCAAACACAGAGCCCAACAGAGGTATGAAATCAACTATCATTTTCCCCAGCATTTTAATTCCTTCACCCGTGCAGTGCTGACGCAATAGGTCCTTTACAAAGAACTCATCAATTCGGTCGGCTACTCTGGTCTTCCTAATAGCTGAAGTCAACACAAAAACAGGTTTGTGAACTTGGTTTGCAAGCCTATGGAGGGAATCTTTATCCAAACCAAAGGCTTTGCTGAAATTAATCATTGTTGCCTCCAAGAATGGAACATTGCAAACAAAAAAGAGACCTGGGACAGGAATTGCCCCAGTAACAGAAGACACAAGGGCTACTCTCCATATAAGGGCCTCCATAGCAGCTTTCTTCTTTTTAAGGATTGCTTTTGAGAAACCTGACACTGTTGTGATCAAAACATACCTCTTCATTCTATCCAGATCATTTTCCAAAGTGTCTACTAGGAGTGGAAAATCATAGTCTTTCAAATCGATTGAAGAGATGAGAAAAACTCTTGGATGAGTTTCTCCTGCCTCTGCCAAACAATCAAAGCAATATTTCCTTATCTTCTCAAGCGTTTTTTCCTTACAGAAGTTTCGTTTCCTTTTTTCAGAATCAATACTTATATCTACTTTGGAGCGCACATAGTAAAATTTCTTCTTCATGTTATGAATTTCACGGCCCAGGAAGACATCATGCTCAGTGAAGCGATCACTGGCAACAATGATGAAGAAATCATATGTCGCAAAATTTACCATCTGCAAGTATTGCTTTGCTTCAAATTGAGGAGTTCCAATTCCTGGAAGATCCCATATTGTTACTTTGGGGGATGTGGGATGTGGATATCCCTTTATCTCCATGGTTGTTTGTGTTATCCCAATCTCAGCTGCACCTTCTTCATCATCTTTTATGCCTCGCAGGGCATTGACAAAGGATGATTTACCAGCACCTGATGCCCCTGTGATGGCGATGTCAAGGGTGGCATTCTCCAATGCATTCAAGTCATTTCCAGATCGTTCTATCAGTTTTGAGAGATTGTTATTCTCCACCTCCAACTCTGCCTTCAGCTCCTCCAATCGACCTCCTATGACTGCTTTTGACATACCAGAACCCATGGTATTTCTTCTTGTTAACTGATGAGAGCAAGAAAAGAAAGGGTGGTTAACTAACTGCCAAGTAACCTTGTCTCTGCTCTGCTCTTAACAGACACATCCATAAAAGTTTTTTTAAAGGACTCTTGTATATGTTATTTTAATGTATGAGATCCAGCAGCCACTACAGATAACAAGAGGTATGATACCCTAGGACATGGGCATGAGGACCGTCCATTCTACCAGAGGAGCTCAGTCCCCCCCCTTCCATTTAATGTTCATAACTTTGTGAGGTAGGTTAGGCTGAGAGGGATTAACCCAAGGTTACTGAACAAGCTTCATGGAACAGTAGAGATTTGAATCTGGGTCTCTCAGGTCTGAGTCCAGCACAGCTGGTGTGCAAAATGTGTTTGTAGTGTGGCACCTTTCCTTGCAGGTACCTTAGTTTATTGGTTCTAGGAAAAAAAGCCCATGAAAAAACCCCACTGTCCATAAATGCTCACAGAAAAAAAGCACACATGGAAATAAGACCACACGGAAAAAAGCCCACACGGGAAAAAGCCCGCATGGAAAAATACCATGTAAAGCGCCATAGATATTTATAATTGTGGATAACCATTCATCTCCATTTATGAGAGTGAACAGGTATTACCTGTATTCATGTGCAACAATTTGTGTTGTGATTTTATCAAGTATAATTAAATAATAATTTTACTGTGTTATTAGGTGACCTGCCTGTGCATTAGCCAGTGTTAGTTTGTGGCAAGCAAGGTTCCTCTGCAGTCCATCATATAGAGACCACCACACACCAGTGTTCCATCTAAGCTGAGTTAGTGTGAGCTAGCTAGCTCACAGGTTTTAAGCCTCCAGCTCACAGATTTTTGTCTTAGCTCAGACACAGGTTTTTAGCCTTCAGCGTACAGATTTTTGTCTTAGCTCAGGAAGGATGGCTCCAGAGCAAACTGATTTATGCAATAGCCAAATTGCTCACTCACAACTGTAATGCCGGTAGCTCACAATGTCCACTGCCCAAAAATTGTCTATGACAGCCCGGCCCTGGGCAGCAGCTGAGGAGGCTGGCTAACATAATTAACATAAGAAGAACCCTGCTGGATCACACCAGTCCCTACAGTTGGGACGGGCTGATCTTTTAGTTTCACAATAGGACCAGAGATATAAAAGGAGTAGCCTGGTGTGTTCCAGGCCTTTTATTATCGAAGCCCTGAAGAATGCAAGACTTTTTACGCAGGTAAGTTCGCTTTACATGGTATTTTTCCATGTGGGCTTTTTCCCGTGTGGGCGTTTTTCCATGTGGGCTTTCTTTCTGTGAGCATTTATGACAGTGGGGTTTTTTCCATGGGCTTTCCCCCCCGATCTCTACCATCTGAAGAGCAGTTTTAATTCTGAGTGATCTCCAGCCCTCACCTGGAGACTGGCAGCAGTGATTCCCCAGGAGGAAAAGTACAGTCTTTCTCCACAGTGGAGACCAAAGCAGATTATATCATTCTCCTCTCCCCCTTTTGATCTTCACAACAACCCTGTGAGGTAGGTTAGGCTGAAAGTCTGACTGGTCTGAAATCACCTTCTCAACTTCTACAGCAAGAACCTGGGTCTATCAAACCCTGCTCTGAAGTGCTAACTGCCACGCCTAGGGTAGCCAACCTACAGGTGGAGCCTGAAGTTCGCCAGGTATCACAACTGAACTCCTGACAACAGATCTCCCCCCCCGGAGAAAATTAACTCCTTTGGATGGTGGCCTCTATAGCATTCTGTTCAGCTGAGGCCCCCTGAGGCTTCTCCCCTCCTCAAACTCTGGCTTCTGTAGACTCCATCACAAAATATCCAGGAATTTCCTAACCTGGAGCTGGCAACCCTAGTCAGGCCTGGCCCCAATTAGTTCCTCACAAAGCCGTGGACAGGGTTTCCTTCACCTTTTTACTTAGAGAACCAAGCTTGGTTGCCTAGCAACAGCCACTGAGTGATAAGTTAGTCCCACAGGAGCGGACCCAGTCCCCAGCCAATGACATGCGAGTACTCTTGAGTGGCAATTGAATGGCCAATGGCTAATGGAGTGCCTAGCACAGCCAATGGGAGAGCTGGAAATGGCCAGCGTGTAAGATAATTATATATATAGGACTATACTTTATAAAATCACAACACAAATTGTTGCACGTGAATACAAGTAATACCTGTTCATTCTCATAAATGGAGATGAATGGTTATCCACAATTATAAATATCTATGGCGCTTTACATGGTATTTTTCCATGTGGGCATTTTTCCATGTGGGCTTTTTTCCATGTGGGCATTTTTCCTGTGAGCATTTATGACGGTGGGGTTTTTTCCGTGGGCTTTTCTCCTGTGGGGTTTTTTTCCTGTGGGCTTTTTTCCGGCCACCTACTTTATTACTGGAAGCCTTGAATAAACATGTCCCTAGTCCATTTGTTTACAACAGTATACTTAACTTTGAAGCCACCTGGTAGCTCACAAAATATGTAACCTAGTTTTCCCAGTTCCTAATCTGACAGACTAAAACGGGGGGCGGGGCTCCTATTATATTTTATCTTTTAGAGTGGGTGATATGCATGAAAATGTCAGAGCTGATCAATTTTTTCAAAGGAAAAACTGGGAATTTTTGAGGAAACTGAAAATAACCACCTATAAAGTGTCGTGTCTTCTCTTTTAAAATAAGAATCACTTTGTCTTAGAACGCATTTCACTCATTCCACATGTATGGCATGAAAAACTCTGAAAACATATTGAGGGGAACCCTCATACTGTAGACTTAGGCTGCAGTCAGATTTGCTATTTGGTGTGGAGGGGAAGCACCCCTATTACCTCTGGTGGAATTTGACTCACATGTGCACAATCACACATCCCTCTGTGCTGCAGGCTCAGCCCGTCACTGTGCAATTGGATACCACATTCAGGAGAGTGGGAGGGGGGGTTGCCTTTTGTTTCCCATGCACATAAATGAGGAATCAAACCCCCACACACACAGAGGGTTCCCCATGGACACCATCCTGACATCTTGAGTGCATGTTTGTCCGTGACCCGTTGGCAAGCTTTAGGACCGGTGTAACAGGCCGGATTAACCCCCCAGCCAGAGTAACCCCGGGGTTACTCTGGCCTAGCCTAGAATAACCCCGGAGGGGTTATTGAGGGGTTATTCTGGCCTAGGCTAGATTAACCCCGGGTTAATCTGGCCATCTGTAACAGGCCAGATTCACCCCCCGGCCAGAGTAACCCCGGGGTTACTCTGGCCTAGCCCAGAGTAACCCCTGCCTGGCCAGGCCAGAGTAACCCCGGGTGTTAGTCCAGATGGGGGGTTACTCTGGGCTAGCCCATACTAACCCCCGCCTGGCCATAGTGGTAAGTTAAATGTCAGCTGAATCCAATCTCTTCTTCTTTTTAACTTCTTTTTTTAACATCTTCTTTTTAACTGCACAACACAACAACCTGTAACCCCGGGCTTAGTTGAGTGGTAACTTAGTTGTCAGTGTAACCAGCACAGTGTCAGCTTCTGAGGGTTTCAGGTCCATGAGAAACTTGTCAGCAATCTGAGATTCCTCTTGGTAGTGAAGGTCCAAGTAGTGGAAGACCCAGCTGAACTCTGAGCAGGAGCAGGAGATAGAGGGGTGAGGGGTTTTTTTTACTTGCTTTCAGCTGAGGGGATTCAGCTGAGGATATTGTGTGGGAGAACTGGTCTGGGAGTGAGTGAAAGCGCTTAGAGTTGTTGCAGAGTCATGGCTGCTTGAGAGAGGGAGAGGAAGGGGCATTGTTTGACTGGGATTGACTGTAATTCAGTATTTAAGAAAGCATCTTGGCAGAGGCATGAGCCTCTGG